TTTTTTGGGATACCTCTTTCACATGGAGCTATTGGGTCCGATTTCTAGATTGGGTGAAGTCTGATGTTTGGTTTCAGATCCAAAGGGTTAGGGTTTTGGATTGCGGTGCTCTGTTGGGTTTGCTGTTTCACTCTATATAGTTCTTGTTACTTTTTTACTTGACTAATTATTTATGGATTAATTGGTTATGGTTTGTTGCTCTTTATTGGTCTGCCTTTATTTGCTCTTTTCTATGATTGTGGGTACTATGTGGTTGTTTGTAGTTGTTTAGGATTTTGTTTTTCCTGCTGTTCTTTGTGTCTTTTGGGCTGTTTTTGTTGCGGTTGCTCTTGGTTATAGTGTTTTGCTTGTGCTGTGGGGTTGGTTTTGTGTGAGTATGGCTCAAGATTTATCTGATAAGCTTGCTAAATTTAAATTATCTGATAAGGAGGGGGGTGGGGTTGAATTTTCTGTGAATGAAATTGCTCCCAGTCTTAAAGAATGTCAACTGAGCCTAATTGGGAAGATATTTGGGGATAAAAAAGCTAATTTAAGTGGTCTTAAAACTACTCTGACTAGTATCTGGGTTACTAGAAAGGAGTTCTCTATTAGGAGCTTAGGCAATAATAAGTTTCATTTCCTGTTCCAGTGTGAGGAGGATAGGGTTAGAATCCTTCAGGGTAAAACTTGGTCCTTTGATGGACAGTATATCCTCTTGAAAGCTTGGAGCCCTGGCTCTAATGATTTCACTCATGAGGAAGAAGTTGCTAAGATTTGGGTCCACATTCTAAACCTTCCCCTGCATTGGACGAATGTGGACACAAGGTTGAAAATAGGCCAAAGGATTGGAAATACTCTTGGTTTTCAACTTCCTGGTACTAGTGACCAAGTTGGGCAAATTGTGAAAGTTTTGGTTGAAGTTAATGTTAATGAACCTCTCCCTAGAGGGACTCTCATAAAAGTTGGGTCTGAATCTACTTGGGTAGATTTTAGATATGAAAATTTGCAAACTTTCTGCTTCTATTGTGGAAAGGTTGGTCACTCTGATAGAAATTGTGGGATCAAGTATGTTGATCTTAAGAATAATGAATTGAATCTAGGGCAATATGGTGAGTGGTTGAGGGTCAGTGCTACTTCTTATGACCTTCCTAGGAGCCCTAGTTCTCAGAGTAAAGGGAGTCTGTCTAATGAGTCTGACAAACTGGGAAAGAATAACCAGTTGATGGCCAGAAGTGCTGAGGAAGTGGGGGGTAGGAATAGTGTTGCTTCTAATCCAGAGGTTCAACAGGTGGGAGATAAGGAGAGTAACCAGGGAGATGGGTTTTTTAATTTGGAGGGGAGTACTCGTGACAATGAGGAGGAGCCTAACAATGGTGATCAGGTGATGCTTCCCATTGATAAGATGGCGCAGCCCATTGTTGAGGAAAGGTTAGTTGAAGTTGCAGTTCAATCTTCTCTCAAGGGAGTTAAGAACAGCAGCAAGACTAAAGCCACATTTACTAGAAAGCCTAGGCTTAGTAAACCAGGTGTTGTGGTAGGAATGCAGGTGGATAAAGGTGAGTGTTCTGAATCTAAAGTTGTAGAGAAGGGTCCTTTCAAGAGAAGTTGTGAGAGTCTGAATGGGGATATTGAGCTGAATGAGAATGAGTTTCACTTAGTTAAGAAAACTAAGTTGTCTGGAGATATGGCTTTGACTGAGGTGGAGGAAACCAGCCCTAACTGGTCCCACAGTTTCCCATGAAGGTTTCTGTGTGGAATTGTAGAGGTTTGGGGGGACCCTCTACAATTTCCCAGTTTAAGGAGACCTTAAGGCTCCACCACCCAGATTTTTTCTTTTTATCTGAAAACAAAAAAAAAAAGAAAAATTTGTTATTTCTATGTGTAAGAAGCTGAAGCTTTTAGATAGATGGTTCTATGAGAAGCCTGTGGGTAGTAGGGGGGTTTCTTCTTGACTTGGTCAGAGAACATATCTCTGATTGAGCTCAACAGGTTAGGTTTTGGATTAGAGGTCTGCTTTAAATTTAGAGGTTTTGATAAGGTGTTCTGGGCTATATTCATCTATGCTAGTACTGATTCTGCTATGAGGGCTGCTCAATGGGATTTGTTGTCCAGACATAGTTGGACATGGGGGGATTATTGGTTTGTTTGTGGGGATTTCAATGATATTTTGTGTCATGCTGATAAGAGAGGGGGGATTATTAGAGAGGAAGCTAGCTTTTCTTCCTTTAGGGCTTTTGTTAGGAATTTAGGGGCTGTGGAAACTAGAATTATTGGCCATCCATTTACATGGTCCAATAACAGACAAGGTACCAGTTTTGTGGAAGAGAAGTTGGATAGATTCTCTCTTTTCTCCTGACTGGTGCCTTCAGTTCCCTGATTCTGTTGTGAAGCATATTAATATGATTTCCTCATATCATTGCTTATTGCTGTTGGATTGTGTCCCTGCTGTTTTGCCTGTTAAGAAAAGATTTGTTTTTGATGCTAATTGGATCCATCTGAATGACTTTAAAAATGTGGTTAGTGAAGCTTGGAATAAAACTGTGAAGGGGCATGCCCTTTTCAGTATCCAAGATAGACTTAGAAATATGAGAAATCAGTTGCTAACTTGGAAGAAGTCTCATGTGATTAATGCTAGGGTTGTGATTGATCAGTGTAAGGATAATTTGCTTCATCTTAGAGAGCAGGGAGGGAATAGGGATTGGGGGAAATGGTTTACTAAGAAAGCTGAATTACAATTAGCTTACAAAACTGAGGAAAATTTTTGGAAGCAGAAAGCTAGGGTGCATTGGCTTCATGAGGGAGATAGAAATTCCAAATTTTTTCATGCTTGTGTGAACCAGAGAAGGAAGGTTAATAGTCTAGGGGGTATCTTGAAGAGGGATGGGAGTCCCTGTTTGAATTCTCATGAAACTTTGTCTGAATTGCTTGCTTATTTTGAGAATATATTTAGATCCTCTAACCCTCTGGATGAGTTGTGTTCTCTGGAGGGTATTGCTTGCACCATCACTAATGACATGAATGCTGATTTGATAAAGTATGTTGATGAGACTGAGATTAAAAGTGCCTTGTTTGACATGGCCAAAGATAAAGCTCCTGGAGCTGATGGTTTCACTGCTTTATTTTTCCAAGATTCATGGTCT